CCGCCGCCGCCGCCAGTCCTCACATCACCACCGCCAGCCACTACCTCGCATCACCACCACACACACCACCACCACCAGCAGCCTCACCTCCACCACCGCCACCACCACCCACCACCACCCACCACCTCGCACCACCACGGGCCTCACCTCCACCCGGAAGAAGTTGCAGGCGGGGAAGGCGGAGAGGTCCACTGTGACCGCCTCCAGGGCCTTGTAGGGCGCCGCGGGGCTGGCGCTGCCGTTGCTGCCTGCGGGGGAAGGAGAGCGCTTGCTTGTGTGGGCTCCCAGGCCGAGCGGGTCGCGGGCGGCGGCAAAGCAGAGGCCAGGGCTGGCTGCGGCCGAGGCGACGGGCTAGCCAGAGGCGGCCGCGGCTGGTGGCTGGCGCGGCCAGCCGGGTGCCGGCGCCGCGGAGAGGGCAAGCAGGGATAGCACGAGTTGGACGCCGCGGCCCCGCCGCCAGGCCGCCGCCGGCGGCGGCGGCGCTCGCGGCCCCACGCCCCTACCCGAGTTGCAGACGTGCAGGGCCAGCCGCCTGCTGCTGCCCCTGGGAGCGCCGCAGTGCCGAGGCGCCGCTGCTAGGGCTTGCCTGCAGCAGGGGGTCGCCCATGCCCGCCATGTCTGGCCTGCCGGCGGCTTGCAGGCGTGCTGGGCAGCTGCATCGCAGGCCTCCTACCTGACCCCGCGCTGCTGCCGGGCTCCAGGCACCACGGCCGAGAAGCTGCACCCAACTGCAGACTCCATCTCGATACTGCTGGGCAGCACCCCTCGACAACAGAATGGCGGGAGGAGATCGATGTAGGCCGGCCTGATCGCGTTGGGGCCTGCCGTCTGGGCCGGACGCCTGCATGCGAGCCCAGCACTCACAGCACATTGGGCCATGGCTCACGAAACGTGGCTTGGGGTGTCAATTGCGCCTGCCCGCAACAATGTACGTAAAAGAAGCATGCTCCCTGCACCACTGGGCCGCCGCTTTTGCGGGGCGACATGCTCGACGGCAGGGAGTGCCGCCCCTGGCCTCCCTGACCGCCCTGCGCGGCCTCCACGACTGTCTGCCATCGCCAGCAGCAGCCCGCGTCATGGGGTCGGGCGCCAGCAGCAGCCCCGCCGCCGCGCCGCCGCCGCCGCCGCCGCTGGCGCCACGGGCGGCGCCGCGCAGGCGCCCGCCCCCCGCGGCCTTCTACTCCGTCGTCTCGGGCGGCGGCGGCGAGCAGCCGGCCAGCGGTACTGCAGGCGGTACGGCCGGCGGTACGCCGCTCAAGCTCATCGTGTACAGCAGTGAGGGCTGCCACCTGTGCGACGGCCTCAAGGAGAAGCTGGAGGCGCTCCTGGAGCGAGCCCAGTTCCTGCCCTGCGCCCTCAGGTGCATGCGCTATGCCGCCGCCGCCGCCGCCGCCGCCGCCGCCGCCGCCGCCGCTGATCCCACCGTGCAGCCCGTGGTATCCGCAGCGCCGCCGCCGCCGCGCCGAGCTCCTTCCCTGCTGGCCTGCCGTGCGTGTGTTGCACCCTGGCATGCCTGGCCGGCCGGCCAGCCAGGAGCGCAGCGGCTGGCCAGCTGCGCAGGACGCAGCAGCATCGCTGCCGCTTGCCACCTGGCGCCCGCATCGCCAGGCTGCCGCCCCCCCCGCTGCATGCCACCCGCTGCCCGTGCCTGCTGCCACCCCGCGCGTGTCCCCCCATGCTGCCTGCCTGGCGCGCCTCAGCGGCGCCGCTTTGCTGCTGCCCCGCCATGCCACCACCGCCGCCACTGCTGCCGCCAAGCATGCCTCACCACAGCCTGGCATTCCTGGCGTGTGTGCATGCATGTTTGGTACGGTGCTCACACCCCTGCCATCCCACTACTGCCACCACCACTGCTGCGCTGCTGCCCTGCCATCTCACCACCCGCCACCACCACTGCTGCTCTCTCACCCGGCCACTGGCCTCACCGCCCTTGCCTACCTGGGCTGCGCTGCGGCGCTGCGGTGCTCTCACCCCTGCCACTGGCCTCGCCGCTCCTGCCTGCCTGGCCTGCGCAGCGGCGCGGAACTTGAGGTTCGGGACATCTCTACCAGACCAGAGTGGGAGGCGGCTTACGGGCAGCTGATCCCGGTGCTGGCGGCGGCCGACGGCGGCGGCGAGGTGGGCGGCCGCGCTGCGTGCGTTTTGTGCACGCCGGGCGCGCCTCGCGCCCGCGCGGCCGGCGCCGGGCTGTCCCCTCCGGCGCCGCATGCTCTTCCGCCTGCTGTGCTGTGTGCCACCCGCGCCTGCCATGTGCGGTCCTTGGCCGCACCGGGGGCGGCTCGGCCAGCCAGCCAGCAAGCCTGCCTGCCAGCTGCTGACCTCACGTCGCCCCACCTGCTGCTGCCGCCGCTGCTGCTGCCGCCCGGCGCGTGCCGCAGGTGGAGGTGCCGCGCCCCTCGCCCCGGCTGTCTGCAGACGCTCTGCAGAAGCACCTGGAGAAGTTCCTTGCGGCGCGGCAGGCTGGGGCGTGAGGGCAGGTGGCCAGGGCATTGCCCTCATGGCCTTCACGTGACAGCGGCGTGCTTTCTTCCTTGAGTGATGAATCGCGGGGCGTGGACGCGGCCGACGGCTGCCGCGGCAGCAGCCAGCGACGCGGGCGCCCGCCCGGCGGGACGGCAGGCAGAGAGCGAATGAGGGGAGCAGCGCAGGCTCCGGCAGGCTCCCGTGTGTCTCTTGAGGATGATGTGATGCAAGGTCTTGGCAGCGCACGACACATATGTGGCATCCGTATACTGAATTACATTCGTTTGCTGTTATTTTTTTATTACATTTGTTTGTTACGTTTGATCAAAGGCAAGCGACATACTTCTACCGGCGGAATTGCACATTGGGTCGACGCATGAACAGCAATGATACAGCCGGGCGACAATATCCCGGGTGTTGTGGGGCCAGATATGACTGGCTCGGAAGCTTCATCAGTAGCAGCGCTCCAGCGCCGGCAGCGCGGCCACCTCTGGGGGCACGCCGTCGGGCAGCGGCACACCCAACAGATCCAGCTCCCGCAGGCGGGTGAGCGGGCGCAGGTGCTGCCAGCCGCCCACCATTGTGTCATTGTCGGACAGGTTGAGCCGCGTCAGGGCTGTCAGCGCCGACAGCTGCTCGGGCACGGCTGCCAGATCACAAAAGCTGAGCTCCAGGTGTTGCAGCTGCCGCAGGCTTGGCAGCAGCGCTGGCACTGACTGGCTGTCTACCAACGCGATGCTCAACTTTGTCAGCGCAGTGAGCTGGGACAGCCCCGCTGACAACTGCTGAATGCCGCAACTGCTAAGAAACAGTTCTCGCAGCGCTGTCAGCCCGCACAGGTTATGCCAGTTCGTTTCTGCTGTTGCAGCAAGCCGGTCAGAGGCACCGTAGCAGAGACAGGTCAGCGCCGGCAGCGCAGGCAGCGCCACCATCACGTCATCACTGGTGGCGACGCGGTATAGGCTCAGGTGCTGCAGCAGGCTCAGCCGCTGCAGGTGCTGGGGGAGGATGGCGTGTTCTTGGGGAGGTAATTTCAGAGTGGAGAGGTCCAGATGGGTGAGGGCCGTCAGGGTGGAAAGGCCGGCTGGCAGGTCTTTGAAGGGAGGAACAGCGCCGCAGTTAATCTCCAGGTGCTGCAGCTGGCTCAGGGCAGCCAGGCCGCGCCAGGCGCCGGTGCAAAGGCTAGATTCCAGCCGCAGGCGCTGCAGCGCTGTGAGCTGCCACAGGTTGGCCGCATCGCCTGACGCAACGAACTTGAAATGCAAAGGCAGCTCCAGAGAGGTCAGCCGTGTGAGGCGTGCCAGGGCGCTGGTGGGGAGCCGGGATGGCAGCGCGTGACCAGTGATATCGCCGCCAGCCAGCGAAGCCACCAGGCTGGCTGGCAGGGCGCTCAGGCACGCGCACACCTGCTCCTGGCTGATGTACTGCTGTATGGCAGGGTTGTCAAGTGGCATTTTGAGGGTGACACGTGCAAAAGCTGCAGCAGCAGGGGTTGGCAGCTGGTGGGTGGTGGGTGGCAGGCGGGCAAGGAGGCTGGATCCTCGCTGGCCGCTATGCAGGGCAGGGCTCACCTCCATACTTGTGCAGCCAGGCCGCCACCGCCGCCACATCAGTCACGGTGGGCGTCACCTCCACATCAACCTCCTGGAACCATGCCAGGCTTGAGCCGTACAGGGCGGTGCAGCTGGCAGCCAGGCTCAGCCTGCGGTGTGGAGCAGGGTGGGCGGCACTCGCTGGCGGCAAATGGACAGGCAGCATGCAGAGTGCAGGTACAGGATGGTTGGTGCAGCAAGCACATCCAATTCACTACAGCATGGTCTGAAACGTGCAGCCTGCATGTGCTGCTCACTTGTCCTGCCGCGACAGGTGGGCAAGGATGGCATCCTGCGCCGGGCTGGCGGTGCCGAGGACGGTCTCAGGTAACGAGGCCATGGCGGCGGCGGGGGCGGCGCCGCTCGGGTCTACGGCGTGCCTGCGGCTTGCGGCGCTACTGGGCTGATGTTTGAGGCGTTTGGGGGCCGCGATGCAGCCGATTTTGCAGCCGCGCAGGTGGTGCGGGTGCCGGGTCGGTCTGAACGCAGCCCGGGCGCACGCGTGATCGGCAACCCAGCACGAGTGAACATACCCAAGTAAATTGCCAGTTCACCCACCGTCACGCTGTGCCCATGGGTGGAGCACCACGTGGGTGGAGCGCCACGTGGCGTGCTTTGAGCGTTTGCTTTTGCTTTGAGCTTTGAGTTTGTTGCAGTCGTTCCCGTCGGTAAGGGGCCGCATCGCCATTGCCCAGGCTTCAATTGGTCGTGCACGGAACACCCCCAAGCACCGCCGTTCCTCGCTTCCCGCCGCCGCCGATCGCTTCTGCTGCAGCGGGCACCCCTGGGCCGGCCCCCACTATGGCGCTGGTGACGCACCAGGGCCAGTGCCACTGCGGAGCCGTGCGGTGAGGAGGGGGGGCAGCAGCCTGCCGCCACTGCCACTGTGCGCCGCCGCCAGGTCTGACCGCCGCCGTCTGTTCTGCTCTGCAAGTTGGCGCACCCTTGGTTTGACTCGCTCCCCATCCCCGATGCAGCTTCGAGTTCGATGCAGAGCCAGACTTGCTTGCCTGGGACTGCGACTGTGAGTCCCGCCCGCCTGGCCGCTCTGCCTGCTGCCTGGAGCGTGCTGCCCTGGGTGCCCTCCAGCCTGGCTCTGCCTGAGGCTGCCTGAGGCTGCGTCCCACCCGCACCTCCAGTGGCCCCTGCCATGCCAGCAGCAGCGCAGGGAGTGGGGAGCGGACACGTGCCTGCCACGCGCCTGCCTGCCCTCCAGCCTGCGGTGCACGCCTCCCATCCCGGCCGCCGCCGCCGCCGCCGTCTCCCTGCTCCGCCGCAGGCAGCATCTGTGCCATGAAGCGCAACACCCACACCATCGTGCCGGCAGCCCGCTTCCGCCTGCTGCAGGGCCAGGACAGCCTCAGCTGCTACCAGGTGGGGGGCTGGCTGCTTCCCCGTGGCGGCTGGCTGGTGGTTGCCGCGCCGCGGCCCCCTCCCTCAGCGCCTCCCGAACCACCCCTCCATTCGCCCCTTCCCAAACCGCCCAGCTCCACCGGAGGTGTGCCTGGCGGTGAATTTGGCAGCCATCCACCCACCCCTCCCCTCCCCTCCCCTCTGCATCCCACCCCCAACCCCACTACGCCGCCGCGCAGTTCAACACCCGAACAGCGCAGCACCTGTTCTGCACAACCTGCGGCATCTGCCCCTTCTACCGCCCCCGCAGCAACCCCGACGGCTATGCGGGTGGGTGGGCGGGTGGTGCACCTGCTGGTGGCGGTTTGTGTCTGTGGTGGTGTGTGTTTGTGGGGTGTGTGTGTGCGCGCGTGTGTGTGCGCGCCTGCAGTCACCATCGATTGCACCGCATCACTCACAGTCGCCTCCACACACAATCAACTCCACTGCCGACCGACCAGCTCAGTCCCGTCGCCCCCCTCCCTTCCCGCCCGCCCCTGCTTGCAGTCACCATTCACTGCATCACCTCCCCCACGGTCGCCTCCACCCGAATACGGCAGATCAAGGGCAGCGAGTGGGAGGCGGCGGTGGAGGCCAGCGGCATACGGCAGCTCAGCAAGGAGGGGCGGTGAGCCGGCCCCACCTGCTGCCCTGACCCACACCTTCTCGGTGCCGGCATGGCGCCACCGGCAGTGCCTCACCCGGCTGCCGCTCGTTGTTGCGGCCCCCCCTGCTTGCCATCCTCCCGCTCACATCTCACAGACACATCTCCATGCTTTGGGATCGGTCCTGGCTGAGCTTGTAAAATGGCACCTCGATGCAGTCGTGCATCGGTCCGGGAGGCGGACGGGCACCCCCGTGCTTGCCGCAGCAAGTGCCCTCCCCGCCCCCTCCCCCTCCCCCAGTCCTTTCAGCAGGATGCTCAGCCTTACACTACTCCGACTTCTTGCGGTGCCAACAATGGTGCAGTCTGGGGGGCGGGGGATGGGGGGGCGCGCGGGGCGGAGCAGGCAGCCCCAGCAGCGGCGCATGCACGCTAGCCAATGCTGCCTATGATCGCCACGAGGTCCACCTGGGCCATGCCGGCATAGGGCCCCACGCCGTTCAACTCCATCTCCACGGGCCCGGGCACGCCGTCGCCGGGCAAGGGGACGGTGATGCGACTAACCCCCTGGGACACCCCGCTGATGTTCACCACGGTGGGTGGCGAGCCGTCGAGCGGCGTGAAGGTGAAGGTGAGTGGGATGTTGGAGGCCTGGGCGTTTGCGTTGCCGATCAGCAGCGCGGTCACACGCATGGTCGGGTCCATATAGCTTATGAAAATGCCGGAAGGGTAGCCGTACACGGAGCAGACGCTGCTGAATCCCATGCTGAGGCCATTGGAAATATCCACGGTGAAGCGGTTGGGGGCGTAGGAGCAGCCGGTGGTGGAGGTGAAGAAGGATACGGCCAGCCGCGCCCCAGAGCAACCTTGGGGCGGCACCCATAGAATTTTCCCCTCGACGTTGTTGGCAAGCAGCAGCGGCCACACACAACTGCCGTCGCCCGCCCTGCGGGAAGGGGGTCGGGGGGGCCAGCACACGGCCGGCAGCGATGGGAGGCCGGCAGCGGATGCCATCCAGTGAAGCATGCTGGAGGCAGGACCAAGCAGGACCAAGGCACATGTGCGGGCCTCACCGCGGCAGGGCGGTGAAGGGAAAGGGGGCGCTGCGTGCTCCCAGGCCCTGCCGGTTGCTGGCCCTGGCGACAATGGTGTACTTGGCGCCAGGCTGGTGGGCGTTGGGTGGGAAGCGGATGCGACGCTGCACGAGTGGGGTTAGCGGAGGGCAGCTCATCATGCGGGGCATGCCCAGGGTCTCCGCACGCGGCCCATCCCAGCGGGGTGGCTGTAGCACAGCTCACACATCCCCTCTCTCTCCCCGTTTGTGTATGGTGCCTTCACCTTTCCAGCTGCTGCACCACAGCTGGGCCCGTAGCATTCATTTGCTCCTTATGGGTGTAACAGACAGACAGACAGACATGAGGCCCCCGCCCAAGACCCGGCGCCGCATCTGCCACGCCACTCACAATGCCCCCCTTGATGGCGGACCCGGGCCCCGAGGCCCGCAGGGCCTTGCCCCCTTTCACGGGAACGGCCACGACGTGGTATCTCAGCACACCTGCACATGGCACGGGGGGGCGGGGGAGGTGGTACTGGCTGCAGTGGCGACGTCAGCCGGGCGGAGGGTGGGCGGCACCCCGCCGGCACCGCCCCAAGAGCAGCAGGGCGGCGCCTCACGGCTGGCGCCGGGCTTGGCAGGCGGCATCATGTCCACCATCAGCTCGCCCTTCCTGTTCAAAGCTGCGCGCGTCACGATCGGCGCAGAGGGCCGCCTGCGGTGCAAGCGGGGTGGCCAGGCGTGGGCAGCTGCAGGTGGCTGGGACGGGCGGCGGCGGGTGGCGGCGGCGGTCAAGACCTGGTAGGAGTGCGTTGCGCCCACCGCGACCAGGGTGCCTCACCTCGTCACGAAAACGAAGCGCCGAGGCCTCGCGGCGTCCGCAAGCGCCAGCCCTGCAGGTGGGCCGCGGGGCACCCGCGTTGTGAGCTGGAGCCCAGCAGCATCGCGGAGGCAGAGCACCCCCAGCAGATCGCATCACCATCACCAGGCCGGCCTGCCTGCAGCCAAGAAGAGCAGCATGAAACACGTAGCGCCGAGTCGCGCCATGGGAACCAGTTCCCAGCCAACTAGCCGGCTGGCTGGAGCCCTTATTACCCCGCCCTTAATGGTGCTTGGGGGCTTGTACAACGCAGGAAGGAGGCCGCAACGTCCTCAGGCAGGCACCGCAGCTACAGGCCGCTCTGCACCGCGGCGGTATTTTCACCAGTATTTTAGAAGAATACCAGATGTTTGCATGGGCCTTTGGAGATGTGCGGGCATGGGGGCCCCTTGTGATTGCGGAGGTGGCAGAGGGAGCCAAGGACAACCAAGGCTGAGCAGCTGCACTGGGCAGCACTCAACGGCAACGTTGAGGCAGCGGCGCCGGCGGTGCAGGCGCTGGTGGCGGCGGGAGCAGCTGTGGGGGGCACACGCAACGACGACGCTGAGCCGCGGCACCGGGCAGCAGCCAACAGCAAGCCGGCGGCTGCCACAGCGGCGGCTTAGGCCCTGCTGGATGAGAGCCCTGGCGTGCCCCAACGCAGTCGCAAAGGATGGCTGCCCACCCTGCGCAGGGCATGCCTGCTAATGCTGAAGCGCGGGGATGCTGCAGCTGGTGCTGGCGCCTGGGGAGCGCAGGGCAGAGACAGCAGGGGCAGGTGGCAGCAGCAGTGGTGCCATCCTTCAGCGCGTGCAGCCGCCATGCTCCACTGGCAGAATGAAGTCAACACGAGAAGCGCATGACCGCGAGTGCGTGGTGTGGTGGGCCGCGCCGCGCAGCGTGGCGCTGCTGCCCTGTGTGCTGCTGCCCTGTGTGCCGCTGCGCCGAGAGGCAGGAGGTGCGGGAGCGGTGCCCCGTGTGCCGCGACGTGTGCGCGGCAGCGTCGCCATCTACCACCCCTGATCCCGCTGGTGGCGCCGGGCATTTGTGCTGTGTGCTTGGTCGCAGCCTGTTTTGTTTTCCAGTGACATTTTGTTGCACAAGTGCATTCGTACCTGCGGTACCTCTTGATCTCCCGCGTGTACTGGGGTGGGCGGGTGGCGGTGTAAGTTGCCACCGCTGGAAGGGCGGCCAGCGGCGGTGGCGCTGGAGCTTGCAGGAGACCAAGCTGCGCGGGAGATGGGCGGGCACCCCGTGCCTGCCGGCAGGTGGGCACGTCCGGATCAAGCCCGCGCCAGGTATGTACATGTCTACATGTGTGCAGCAACTGGACGCTGCCCATCTGCTCTCTGCGGCAGCAGCTGTGGGCAGGGGGCAGCGTGCTCCTCGGCACCGTACTGGGACGGGGCAAATGGCGGCGGGGAGGCTGGTCGGCAGGAGGTGTGGGACCTGCCCTTTACCTCGCTCCGCTCAAGAACTGCGTTTCCAAGCGTCTGCAGTTGTCTCTATCAGTGCCAGGGCGGTAGGCCCGCTGCTGCTCTCCACCAACTCGACGTCCCTTCGCACCAGCCTGAAGCCAGCCAAGGCTAGCCCTGAGAGCAGAGCAGAGCAGAGCAGAGCAGAGCAGAGCAGAGCAGAGCAACAGCAGCGAGCCGACCACAGCAGAGTAGAGCAATCACTGTGTTCATGGCTTCAGCGAGCAACAGGCCAGGCAGTCCCAAGGTAGGGCTTGCCAGCGCCGCCGCTCAACCACGCCGCCGCCGCTCAATGCCGCCGCCGCCACCGCCTTGATCCACATCGCCACTGCGTTGCTGTCCGCTGGCCCTCTGCAGGAGAGTTTTTTTGAAGCAGTGAAAAAAGCAGGGCGGCATGCCTGCCTGCAAGCGCTGTACACATGCTTGGCCGAGGGAGCAGACGTCAACGCGAAACGCGGCATTGGCTTGACAGCGCTTCACTGGGCTGCCTGGAAGAACCCAGACCCTGCAGCGGTGCGCGCCGTGACTGCGGCTCTGGTGGCCGAGGGCGCTGATGTGCGGGCCAAGGACCAGCAAGGCGCTGAGCGGCTGCACTGGGCAGGCTGGAACAACAACGCCGAGGCAGCAACAGCGGCAGTGCTGGCGCTGGTGGCGGCAGGAGCGGATTTGCGTGCCAGATGCAAAGACGGCGCTGAGCCGCGGCCGTTGCACACGGCAGCACTCTGCGGCAACGCTGCGGGGGCAGCAGCGGCTGTGCAGGCGCTGGTGGCGGCAGGAGCAGATGTGCGGGCGAAGGACAGAGATAGCGATGAGCCACAGCACGCGGCACAAAACAGCAATGCTGAGGCAGCAGCAATGGCGGTACAGGCGTTGGTGGCGGCCGGTGCAGACGTGCGTGCCAGGCGCAATGACGGCGCTGAGCCGCTGCACCGGGCAGCACTCAACGGCAATGGTGTGGCGGCAAATGCTGCAGTGCAGGCGCTGGTGACGGCTGGCGCTGCTGTGCGTGCCCGTGATAAGCATGGCTCTGAGCCGCTGCACGCAGCAGCAATGAACAACAAACCAGCGGCAGCCGTAATGGCGGCTCGGGCTCTGCTGGAGGCGGGGGCCTGCCGCACCGCAGTCAACAGGGATGGCTGCCCACCCTGGCTGCTGGTGCTGGAGCGCCCGGATGCAGCGCAATGCGGCCAGCTGCTGCAGCTGCTACTGCCACCTGGGGAGCTCCACCTGAGCAGCCCAGCCCTCCAGCGCTTGGCAGTGGCAGCAGGCGCGCTGCCAGCCGGTGCCGGCAGCAGGCTGTTGGCAGCCGTCATCCACCAGCTGCTGTCGCCCTCGCAGCCAGCTGGTGCAGAAGCGCAAAACCGCAAGTGTGTGGTGTGCTGGGACGCGCCGCGCAGCGTGGCGCTGCTGCCCTGCGGCCACCTGGCGCTTTGTGCCCGCTGCGCGGAGAGGCAGGATGTACGGGAGCGGTGCCCTGTGTGCCGCAACGTGTGTACCGGTACTGTCACCATCTACCACCCCTGAGCCCGCTTGTGTTGCCGGGAGTGGTGCTGCCAGCTCTGCCGGACCACTCTTTTGGCGATCTCATCCAGTCTCTCTTTGCTTTGTTTGAACACCTGCGGTGCCTGTTGATCTCCCGAATGGTTGTTTAGTGAGTGGATGTCCGGGTGGGTTTGTACATGGTGATGAAAGCAAGTCGTCAAGTGTAAAGAGCCATTGCCCTCGTCAGTTTGCCAGCGCTGGCGGGCGCACGCCGCAGGTGGCAGGGCCCGGCACCCCTTCACAGCTTACACCAGCGGGGCCTCCTCCTTAGCCTGCTGCCTCCTTTGCACACAACTGCTGCCCCTGAGCAGTACCCCGGCAGGGGCAAGGGCGGCGAGTGAGGCTGCGCATTTGACAGGGAGGTGTGGGTGTGCGGCCCGGCTGGCGAGGCAGGGAATGGTGTGGGGAGGCGGGCGGGCACCCTCGGGCGAGGCGGCACACGCCGGCGGCCTGCTGACATCCCGTTCGTGCGTAGCTTGCCCTGAAGGGGGCTTCCAGTATCCAGCAGCAAGAAAGTGATGGCGGCGGCGGCGGCGGGACGGGCGGCGGGACAGAGGGAAAGTAACCTCAACGGTTTCAACGTTTCAATGTAGAGCTCGAGTCAGCAGCCCGGCCAGCGGGCCCTGCTCCATCCCACGGGTTGCCTCACGGCAGCAGCTCTCGTGAGAGCAGAGCAGAGCGGGGAGGGTCTCAGAGCAGTCGCTGGGGCGATGGCTTCAGCTAGCAGGAAGCGAGGCAGGCCCAAGGTGGGGCTTGCCAGCGCCGCCGCTCAACCCCGCCGCTGCCGCTTCCCCGCCGCCGCCGCGGTTCCACATTGGACTGTCGCCTGCACGTGCAGGAGACGCTGCATGAAGCCGTTGAGAGGCCTGGGAGGCATGCCAGCCTGCAAGCGCTGCTGCTTGCCTGGCCGAGGGAGCAGACGTGAACACGAAGGACGAATGCACAATGACCGCCCTTCACTGCGCCGCATGCACCAACCCAGACCCTGCAGCCGTGCGCGCCGTGATTGAGGCTCTGGTGGCAGCGGGCGCTGATGTGCACGCCAAGGATTTCTATGGCCAAGAGCCGCTGCACTGGGCGACCCGCAACAGCAACGCTGGGGCAGCGGCAGCGGCTGTGCAGGCGCTGGTGGCGGCCGGAGCAGATGTGCGGGCCAAGGCGAATACTGGCACTGAGCCGCTGCACTGGGCAGCACTGAATGAGCCCCCGGCGGCAGTCGTTGCAGCAGCTCGGACCCCGCTGCAGGCGGGGGCCTGCACCAGCGCAGTCGACAGGAATGGCAGCCTGCCCCGCCTGGTGGTATTGCGTCGCCCTGATGCAGCGCAGTGCGGCCCGCTGCTGCAGCTGCTGACGCCTGGCCAGCTGCTGACACCCCCCCATGGGGAGCGCTCTGCGTCAGCAGCAGGTGCACTGCCAGGCGGCACTGGTGGGAGCGGCGCTGCAGCCGCCAGTCGCCAGCTGCCACAGAACAGGCAGTCGGTTGTCCCAGAAGCGCACAACGGCGAATGTGTAGTGTGCTGGAGCGCGCCGCGCAGCGTGGCGCTGCTGCCGTGCGGCCACCTGGCGCTGTGTGCGGGCTGCGCCGCCACGGACCTGGCAACCAAAAGGTGCCCGGTGTGCTGCCGGGTGTGCTGCCGTCCCGCTGGCAAGACCGTCACCATCTACCACCCCTGAGCCTGTCTGATGGGCGGCAGCAGGCTGGGCGGCAGCAGGCCTGCAACGCTGCCAGCATGGCATGCCGCTGCACTGCTGCTGCACCCGCACACCATGGCAACTGTGTAACTGTCCCTAAAAAATCCCCTGGTGCGCTGCTTCAAGAGCCCCTTCACTTCCGATTAAATGAAAAAAGAGTACGACAGATCTGAGGAATCAAAAACAATAAAGGGGATTAGCTGGAAAAGTGGAAAAGGAAAAAGGCAGCCACATCTTCATCTGTACATACATTGTCGGCGGAATGCGGGGGGCTGGAAAATGCCGGGGGCTGGGAGCAGGCTGCCAGCTGCTGCCCCAGACGCCAGCCGGGGACAGGTGCCGCGCTCACTCCCTCTACTAGAGTAGTACTGGAGGGGTCCCGCCGCGCCAACCATCCCTCTCTATCTTGATCTAAACCTGCAGGTCTGGAGGGGGAGGGGCGCGGGAACGGGGGCGGAGTGAGCGCCAGGCTACTGGGAGAACGTGAGCGACGGCGGCAGGCTGGCGGCGGAATCCGGATGCAAAGGGCAGCTCGAGCTGCACCTGCTGCTGCTCCCCATTGCTGCTCGCTGCGAGCTCGCTGCTGCCCCTCGCTGCCAGCTCGCTGCTGCTGCTCGCTGCAAGCTCGCTGCTGCTGGCCTGCCTGAGTGCATGCACCCACAGCGGCAGCCACACCCCGCTGCCCACCTGTGTGATGGCCGAGGCAGGCGACCCGCGGTCACTCGTCGCCGTCGCTGGCCGCATCTGCGGGCAGCTGCTCTTTCAGCTTCCTGATGGTCTCCTGCGCCTCCGCCAGCTGTATGGTTTTGCGAGCGGTGATCATCTGCAGCCGCTTCTCCTCCTCCTCCAGCTTAGCAGTCTTGGCCTGTGCCACCCACAACGCCGCGTTCAGGTAGCAGATGTCAATGATCTTCAGGATCAGGGACGCAATGATCACTCCCAGCGTGTTCCCCATTATCACTTCCAGGCTTCTCATGTCGGGGGCCACGCCCGTGCGCACGCTGCGTGGGCTGTCGCGGCCTGATGGCGGCCAGGGGCGGTGGTGGCGGGGAGCAGGCCGCTGCCCCCCGGGGCCAGCGGCGCAGGCCACCGACCGAGGGCGCGGCCTCGCTGCAGCCTGCCGGACTGGCTGAGGGAGGCTGCACCCTGCAGCCTGTCGGAGTGCCCAGCTGCTGCAGGCTGCTGCCATGGCGGCCGCTGCCGGTAGGCCTGAGGCGTTGCAAGCTTTCCGAAAGGGGCGGTGCGGATATGGGCCGAGGCCAAACGTGTTTACGCACTGTACAGCGCAAAGGCTTTAATTCACCGCCTCAGGTGTTGAGGCGCCGGCGTCTGGCGGCGGAGTTCGATAGGAACATCGAGTCAATCAGGAGGCGGGTCAAGGAGCAACCACGCAAGCATACAGGCGCCAGCGGCGCGAGTGGCAAGCCTTCCAAAGCAGCGGCGCCGCCGCCGCCCCGCTGCAGGCCCTGGCCACCCGCCCCCCCAGGCTCCAGCGCCTGGGCCCCCTCACGCGCGGGCTGCCGCAGCCGAGGCTTCTGCTGCTGCTGCCGGGGCCGGGGCCGCCGCTGCTGCGGGGCACTCGCGAGGCGGCCGCCGAAGGCGGCCACGGAACACGCTGCCGCCCAGCCGGCGGTGCAGCAGGCTAATGCTGCGGCAGAGTGGGCTCGCGCCGCGGCTGCCTGGCGCGCTGCGCACAACCCGGCTGCCTGCCACCTGCAAGTGAGCTTGGGACACTGAGTGGTGGATGCGGGCCCCTCCACCTCCGAGTCCCCGGGGTACCCTTCCCGTACAAGATGCCTCATATGGCAGGGTTCCCACTGCATGCGCACTTGCTTGTGTGGGCTTACAGTCTGGTTTCAGCCAGAACAAGCTTGCAGCGCAGACTTTGACCACTGCTCACCTCACAGGCTTGAGTCGCCACACACAACACAGCACGGCCAGGCAGGGATCCACTCAGCATGCAGCAGTGGAAGAGCTGTGGCGGTGTGCCACGAGGCAGCGCACAGCATGCGAGCGCACAAAGGTAGGGAGCAGCCCAGCCCAGCCGACGGCAGGCATGCAGCTGGGCTGGGGCGTGCCACCGCCAGCACCACATGCATCGCCTCCGCCCCCTGCCACGCGAATCGCTGCGGTCGCCCCGGCGCCTGCCATTGACACTCCTGCCAGCGCCCCGCTCCTGCTCCCGCTCACGGCTGGTGCTGCGCCGCCACTGCACTCGCTTCCCGCCTGTGCCGGCGCTGCACCCGCTGCACGCCGCCGGTCAGCAAGCTCACGGTCAGAGCCGGGGCGGCCGTTGAGAGGCGGCTCCTCCCTGCCACCAGCCGTGCCCGCGCCGCGCCGGCGCTCGGCCGGTGGCGGCGAGCGACCGCCGCCCTTGCCCTTGCCCTTGCCCCACGCCGCCTGCCCCTCGCTCTCGCCGCTGCTGCTGCTGTCGTTGCTGCTGCTGCTGCTGTCGTCGTTGCTGCTGCTTGCTGCTACTGCTGGACGGCGATGATGAGGAAACAGGTACGCTGCTGCTGCTGCTGCTGCTGCTGCTGCTGGATTCGGAGTTGGAATCGGAGGAGTCGGAGTCGGAGTCGGAGTCGGAGTCGGAGGAGGGGGACAGCGGCGGCCGCCTGCAGGTGCTGCGCGGCCAGGGCCAGCATCTGGGGCAGGTTCCGCAGCACCTCACGCACGCTGTCGGTGAGGCCTGCGGGTGGCGAGCAGGGAGTTTGGCAGCGCCAATGGGTGCGCTTCAGAATACTTGACACGGCGAGCAAGCAAGAAGTGCGAGAAGAGAGAGCGGAAGAAGGCGAGGAAAAAAAACAAAGGGAAGAGCAGCAGGAGGAGGGGAAGGGCAGGCGGATGGGAGGGACGGGGCCGTGCCGCCAGGCACCAGACAGGACCGGTACTGGAGCATACTGGGCATGCATGTAGATCGCACAAAGCAACGCACCTCCCAGCCCGAAGGCTGTGAAGCAGTTGGTGGCAGAGTGCATGCCACGGGGGGAGCCCATGGGGAGCACTCCCACGAGCCAGTCCTGCGGTACAGGAGGAGGCGGTGCAGCGGTACTGCCGCCCGCTCGGTTTCCGGGCAAACCAGCAGCACAGGGCAGGGCAGGGCTGCCACCGAGCGGTACAGCACAGCCAGGCTCAAGCAGTACAACACAGCGAGGCCCAAGCAGCACAGCACAGCAAGGCTCATGCCGCAACAACCCGCCTTATTCATCCCGCAGCCCTCACCTGGAGGCCCTCACCTGGCAGGTGGGACTGCCCCATGCCAGTAGAGTGCCCGGCGGCGGCGATGCCGAGGCCGCGTGTGTTCAGCAATAGCACAGCGTCGCCCGCCTGGCTCCCAACCCCCTGGCGGGCCCCTGACGGCTGTCCCACCCGCCGCCTGCTGCTCCGCGCATGGGCAGCAGCAGGGGCGGGCTGCTCCCCCGGGAGGGACAGCCGCCACTCAAGGTAACAGGCTGGCTGGCTGGCTGGCTGGCCTTCCGCTGGCGACACCCCCGCTGCCCGCCACGCCGCCGTGCCGCCATCGCCACCTCCGTGGTCTGGCTGGCCGGCAGCCACGGGTCGGAGTCGGCGCCGTACAGCACAAACCGGCACTGGTACCGCGTGCCACCACCACCCTGCACCGCTGACTGATGAAGCCTTCCATGGTGCGCCACTCCTCAGCCTCCTGCGGGCCCAGGCGGGCGGGGGAGGGAGAGGGAGGGGGCGCAGCGGCAGGTGGAGCGGGAGCGGCAGCAGGCGCCATCGGGGCGGCATCGGGCGGCACGGGCGTGGGCGCAGGCAGGTTGGTGGTGGTGGGCGGCAGCGCTGCGGGCAGCGCCTGGCGTGCTGGCTGGCTGGCTGCCCGCTGGGGGGGTGGCTGGCAGGCTGGCTGGCGTGCGGGTTGGCGGGTGATGGGCAGCAGGGCAGTGGCGGCGGCGGCGATGGCGGCAGCAGCGGCGGCGGCGGGCGCAGGCGTAAGCTGGGCATGAGCGGCGGCGGCGGGGGAGGCGGCAACGCCTTGAGGAGGAGGCGGCGGGGAGGAGGCCGCTCGCCACCAGCGAGAGGTCACAGCCCGCCCAGCCAGGGGCGCTGGGGGCTCCTCCACGAGCTGCTGGCGCAGCCCGTGGGTGGCGGCGTGCCTCTTGGCGGCAGCGCAGCAGCCCAGTGGCGTGCACAAGCAGAACATCGCTGCCCGACTCGGTGCCTCACCAGCAGCTCGCCCTTCCTGGTGATCTGAAGTATTCTTGCTTTTGCGGCAGAACAGAGGAGCGGCGACAGGAGCAGTTGAGTTGACACCCCGTGCAGGTGCCGGACCACTCGCTCACATCACATCTGGGCTTGATCAGGGGCGGGAGTGCGGTTTGGGAGAGACTTTTTGTGGGGCTCCGGCCACGTGGCGCGCATTTTGGTTTGGTGAGCCCCGCGCAAGGCTGCCGGCACCGCACGTCTCCAGCCACTCTTGATCTCCGGGCGCTCCCATTCCTCCAGCGGCACTGCAGCTCCGGACAGCTCCACGCGGTTGGGCCCAACCGCGTCTCGCCCGGGCCGTCCCCCATGGCCGCCCTCACGGCCATGAAGAGCATGCGGCAGCGGCTGGCGGGGCGCCAGGGCGGCCTGACGTACGAAGTGGAGGTGGTGGCGCAGCACGCCGGTGAGCGGCGCGGCCGGCGCTTGCCGGAGCCGCGGCCCGGTGCGCCGCACCCGGCGCCCGCTCCGGGCCTCCCCTTGCACCCTCCCCTCCTCTCCCTCACGCCATGGCGCCCGCACCGCTTCCTCTCCTGCAGCTGAGCTGCCGCTGCCGGCCGGCACGCGCGCGCGGTTTGTGCTCAAGCGGCGGCACCGCCTGTGCGTGACCGACGCCGCGGGCGTGGACGGCGGCGGCGGCGTGGAGTGGAACACAAAGTGTGCGCAGGTGCGGGCGGCTGCCACCCACAGCGGCTGGCGCTGGCGTCCCTTGCGCATAAGACCATATGTATGGAACAATGCACAAGATGCGTGCATATGGGGCGCGGCGGCAGCCGGTGGGGAGGGCAGGTGGGGGGCGTCCCCGGTGGCGCCACCGCTGCGGACGGGCGGTTTGGCAGGCAGCGGCGGCGAGGCATGTGGGTACAGGCGGCCCCGGCCGTGTGAGAGGCCGTGTGCGGCTGTGCAGCGCAGCGGTAGCGGGGGTATAGCAGGCCCGCCGCGCCGCCGCTCGCCGCCTGCCCACCGCCCAGCCTGCCGCCGCCGCCTGGCCGCCGCCTGGCCCCGCAGACTGCCACGCTGTTCAAGGATGGAGGCGCAGCAGGCGGATGGCGGCCCAAGGAGTTTGTGTTCAAGGTGCAGGCGGTGACAGGTGCGGCGCTGCGGGTTCTATAATAAAGAACACGTATTTTAGCTGATTCCGGCGCCGAGAGCGGAAAGCCAGCATATCGGCCTGGGAGCCGCCGGCGCCCGGCGCCGCGCCGTTGCCCCGCGCCCCGCCCCGCCCGCCTGCCAGTCCGGGGCCGCTGCTGGGCGCCGCCGCTGCACCCGCCGCCGGCTGTTTGCACCCTGGCAGCGCATGCTATGCTGCTTATGCCCCCTTAAGGCTTTCCCCTCCCCAAAGCTGTTCCCTCCCCAAGGCGTTTCTGACCCCAAACCTGTTCCCTCCCCATCAGGCGACGGGCGGGCGGGCCATGAGGAGGAGGCGCACACTGTGGCCAAGGCGGCGCTGGATCTGTCGCAGTTCTGCCAGGCGGAGCCGCTGGGGCCCCGGCCGCTGGTGCTGCAGCTGCAGTGAGTGTTGGGGGGTGGCCGGCCGGGCGCTTGAACGCGTGTGTGCCGTCTTTGTGCATTCTTGTGGCGTGTCTAGGGCCGGCCGGCATCACACACACACACACCTGCACACGCGCACCCAACACCGCGCCACACCCTCACCAGCCGGCACCCCGCCTGCGCCGCCGCCGCAGGCCGTGCGGCGTGCTGTGCGTGTCGGTACGCACGCGCTGGCTGCAGCACTTTGACGCCGAGGCCGACACGCTCACCGACATCTCCCACCTGTCTCTCGCCCAGTCGGGTGGGTGTGCACGCGCCTTCAGCATGACTCATCTTTACTCTGGCTTATGTTGTGTGTGTTGGTCGGTTGGTGGTCCGTCTGTGTGTGTGGTGGGGCCAGGCTCCCTGGCTGCCGTCTGGCGCCTGTTGGTGGCGCAGTTGTGGTGGGCTAGTGGGGTGGATGAAGTGGGGCGGCAAGGCAGCAGCAGGGAGGGGTGGCAGGGAGGGGGTGGCGGCCACCTGGCGGTGCTACCTGGCAACAGCGGGACATGCCGCACGCCGTGGCTCTGGCGGCGCCTCCCTCTGAGCAGCAGCCTGCAGTGGTCCACGCATCGCCGTTGCGTCAAGACAAGCCCTCAACCCCTCCTCTCGCCCTGCACCCCTTCCCCTCCTCCGCAGGCGTGACCAGCGCAGTGGGCGGCGGCCCGGGGCTTGGCGCAGGCGAGGCGGAGGCGGAGCAGGACCTGTCTGGCTTTGACGGCGCCGCCGCGGCGGCCGCGGCGGCCGCTGCAGCCGCCGGCATGGATGGCGGCGGCGGTGGCGGCAGCGGCGGCATACGGGCGGTGTATGGGCGCGGGCTGCCGCCTGCGGGCGCTGCGGGCGCCACGCCGCTGCACAAGCGGCGCCCGTCGCTGGTGCTGCGCCTGCCGCGCCGCGCCGCCTCCGCCAGGGAGCTCTCCTCGGCAGGCGCAGCTGCGCGGCAGCTGCCGGAGGGCCTGCAGGACCAGCAGCAACAGCAGGCGGCGGCGCAGCAGGCGGCGGCAGCATCAGGATCAGCAGGAGGCTTCCAGTTTCCGGCGGCTGGCGGCGGCGGCGGCGGCCGCAGGCCGGCCGGCGCCTCCCAGCTGGTGATCCCGGGAGTCCCGCCGCCGCCGGGCACGGCATTCGCTGCCGTGGCGACGGTGGCAGGGGACGCGGACACGCCCACGCTGCTCGTGCGGCCGGGGGCGGGCACGGAGGCTGGCGGCGGCAGCGTGCGGC